GCCGCTGCTGTCAAGCACGCAGGAAGCAGCAGCCCGCTGGCAAGCGTCAGGCGAGCGGAGGCTGCACTCGCTGGCCCTGCTCCGCTGCCGACCGAGCGTGCCCTACCCCGTCCCCAGCTCCACGCTCTCCACCCCACAGTGTGGGCTGGCTGGCAGAGTTTTCATTTCCTCCCCTGTCCAGCCCAGCGCCGTTGGGACCTGGCTGCCTGCAGGTGCTGCGGTAGATATCAGTGTCAAGTCAGCACCTCCTGGGCAAAGCCAGGTGGTGCAGGGAGATCAGAAAGGGCCCGACTCATTGCACTGCGCTATGCCCTAATACAGGGAGACACACAGACTCCGCTGCTCTTAGGTCTTGTGTGTAAAAATCACAATATAGCTGGGTGCCAACCAGCGCCCAGGGGCTGCTCCACCTTCCCCCGTCAGCTCTGCACGATGTTGCCCCCAGCCTGCATGCACTGCTCATCCTGGTGGCTCCGTGCTCAGGAAGGCCCTGCTGGTTTTGTCTCCGCAGGAGAGCGAAGACCTGGAGCGGCAGAACGCAGCCCTACGCCGGGAGATCAAGCAGCCCGACGCACCGCTCTGCCCCATCCTGACCGCAGCGCCTCCGCCGCCCCCAGAGGTGCTCTATGCCACGCACTCCTTCCACCAGCCCCACATCAGCTCCCCACGCTTCCAGCACTGAACCGCCGCCGGACACGCAGCCCATGGGCGCCACAGGTGGCCAAGACCACTGTGCGGGGCTCGCTCTTTCATCCAAGGGAGAGGGACAGACAGATGCCCCTTCTCAATGTGCACGCTCCAGGTGACTTGTCTAAGACTTGTCCCCTGCACAGAAATGGCAGAGCCACCGGCAGGCATCTTCGGGGAGTTTCCGGCTTGGATCCTGGCGAAGAGGAGGCATTCACCAAAGGGCACCAACCCCCTTCCCTGGAGTTTGTGTTGGGACACTCACAGGAGTGTGTGCGGCATGGGCAGCCTCCCTATGAGCGGCCGCTGGGAGCACAACAACGGGAGCTCCAGCAAGAGGAACAGGAGCAGGGCAGCAGGGAATTTCGGGGGCTATAGAGTACCAGGGCAAAACTGGTTTATTTTTGTAAAATAAAGAATGAAAAACGCTTAATTCTTGTTTCGAAAACAGGTTGAGCTGCTCCTAAGGCCCTGTGTGCTGCAGAGGGACCCCAGGCAGCCACAGAGGAGAGCCTGGTGTTCTGGGGGCAGCCCTAAGTGCCCTGGCATCCAACCCAGGGGCAGCGGCTGGAGCCCACACTGAATGAGGGCTCATCATGCGCATGGGCAGTGATTTGTGGGGAAATGGGGGTCCTCCTTGCTGCAGGGCTGGCCCTTGCTCATGAGTCTGGGTTGCCATGTGGTGTCTCAGCTCTCGCTCCTGCTGACTCCCTGATGGCTCACCTCTCCTCTGTCGACAGCTAGACCACGACATGCTCCCCTTACCCGCCTGCAGGCATGGTGCCATACCCTGCCACCTCCTGTGCTGGCACTGGTGGAGCCTCTAACTTGACAACCAGTGCATCTGGGAGGGAACATGGCAGCGTGGAGGTCTGTATAGAATAGATTCACTCTGCTGGGTCTGAGCTAAGGAAACACAAACACTGTGCAAATGGATGGTCTCTGTATCTAACATCCTAACCAGCCAGCAGTCAGGCTGTCTGCCCATACATCCCTAGTCTATACCCAAGGCTGCCAGTGCAGGGCGGGTTTCTAATCCTGGCTCAGGACTACTGCCCTCTCTAAGGACCATCAGCTGCAACTTTTTCAGCGTAGAGTACCTTGATGAGGATCTGAGCTAAATGGGACCAATTTTTGGATGGTTCTCTTTCAGGTGCAGGGAAAGGGAGTATTTCCAGAAGGGCTTTGGCCCATAACTGCAGCCCTCAAGAGCAGTTAGGAAAAGTCTGTAACATGCTGTGCCACGCCCGTTTGCTCTGTCTAGCTTGTACCGGTGAGCAGGGTGAAAACTGAACACACCCATCCTTCAGAGGGCACTCCCCAGACAGGGTCCAGAAAGCACTGAAATTTTTCCTGCTATGGGCTGTTGAAGATGCCTGTGGACCTCCTGCCGGTGTGCTGGCATGGGAAGCACCGTGGCCTGGGACACCTGGTTGTCAGCATGTGAGCCTGGGTGTCACCGTCCTACAAAAGCAACGCCTACCCTGAGTGATCATGCCCTAGACTGTGCAGCTCTACAAACACCTGAAAGAGAAGCTCATACACAAGCAAGAATGGTGGTTACTCTAGCAGGGCAGCTGGGTTTTCTGTTATATGGGACAAGCAGAATACATCTACAGGCAGCATAAAGATTCTAACCACACCTGAAAAAACAAACCAGTGGGAGCAATTTCAGTATGTCTTATACTACCCTCTCTCCTAGATCTCACACCAATAAGCATCCCTCCATCCGTTCATGCAACAACCAGAGCTGCTGTTCCCCTGCACAGGCCATACTTTGAGCCACCCAGGCTGCAAAGGCCCTTCCCAGACTGCGTTTCTCTGGGATTTCTCCCTTTAAGTCTGGGAGAGGCAACTATCAGCAGCTCTACAGGACTCAGCTTGGTTTTGCTATTACAAAATCTGCTTCTGCTCCTCCAGCTTCTGGAGGGTTTTCTCCTGTTTTCTTCACTCACTCTTCCCTAGGCTCTGATGCCCCCATGCTTACTGGGTGACAAGGAATCAGAGAAAAGAGCTACGGTACCTTGCTTGGGGCCTGCCATAGACTCGTTTTCCTCAGCGGAGGAGGCAACAGAGCCCTAACAAAGCTTGCGCTGATTTAAAACACAGTTTCTACTACACTACTGGGAAATCTCCATCCTTGCTGCCAGCCTTAGTGTTTTCCCATGGCTTTAAAACGCTAACCTTGGTTTTAGCTGCAGATGGAGAAGGTCTTACCCTGACAGACGTGTATTGCCTGTGCCTACACAGACATGAAGCCAATATTTCTGTTGCAGAGCTGTCAGAGTCTGAGATCTTGCAGGTTGGGTGGGGTTCTGTGTAATGGCCCACAGAATTGTTAGACTACCCACTGGTAACGTCTCAGACTTATTACTGCAACTCAGAACGAAAATAAGTGGTAAGTGGTGAGACTGGAAGACGGATTTGCAACAACATCCTCTCCAGAACCTAAACAATACTCTTGGCATCATCAGCTAGACTGCCTGCCCCAGACATATGGCTGTCTGTGAGCTGGAAGACCTCCAAGCAACATTGTGCTCAGCCGTTTGGGCCTAACACTAGACATACGTTGGTGCTAAAGGACACATCTTCCAGTCTGACTCGTCTTTGCCTCAATTGTGCCCTCAAAAACCTGATCACAGATGATCTGCACGGTTCAAGTGGTTTTCGCCCTCTCATTGTTTCTGGTGATCGTTAGGTCTCTTGCTTTGTTATGGAGAATGGTTCCCCTGGGAGACAGACCTTAGCACACAAACAACAGGGGACAACATCTCTGCTCAGGGCCACCGGCCATTCAGCCAGTAGCTCAGATAAAGCTCCTTTCCTGAGGCTTTGCAGAGCTGCACCAGGTGCTTGCTCAGGCTATGTGAAGAGATTCATTCACCTCTATTCCTGTGCTGTGCCTTGCTTCCCCTTCCTAGGCTCCTGTCCTCTACTCAAGGCTCCTCACCCAACTAGCCAAGTGCCTGTCCTTGGGTTGGGCCCTCCCTTTTGTCAGCTAATGAACTGTTAACTAGCTCAAAAAAGGGCAAAGGGCAAGGGGAGGTGGTGGCCACAGCAGTCATCTTCCATTGTGTCTCTCCCACCCACAACACAAGTTCTTTTGCATTTCATTTCAATGGCACCTTGCCTTTTTAAAGTTGTGTGAGTATTTTCCAGCCATGCCATGCCCAGCCCCAGGGAGCAGTCTGCTGCTTGCTGGTCCAAGGAAAGGGGCTTCTGGGCACACAGGTGAAGCCAGGTGCTGGCCAGGCCGGTGGCAGCTTGTCCTATTTTGATCCAGGCAGCTTATGGCCTAGTGTCAGTGCCTTTCCATTGCACTATATAGGCCCATATTCAAGAGCTTTCTCAAAGCAGCAAAGAAAGGATGAAGGCTCACAGTGTGCAGAGAGACTCTGTTTTCAAGCAGAGGAAGACAGGTAGAAAGTTAAAATTGCTCTTTCCAGTAAGCACATGCGTGCTGAAATACTGTGTTTGTGCTGGCCTCTACTGGGCAAAAGCAGAGCTCTCCTGGCATCAGCTGTCCTCAATTTTGAAAAACTTTTCTTTTTGCACTCCGATATGGCAGACCTATCTTAAAAGATCAGCCTGGCTATTACTAGGCACTGTGGAAAGGACTATGAGGATCAAAGTCACTGTGTGTGAAGGCCAGGGTTGGGTATGGGTGTAAATCACTGCCCCAAGAGGGATGTACAGGCCCAACTATAAACATGAAGCTGTGGTCTCCCTTGGCCCAAGGATTTGGTAGCTTGGGCCAAGGGTTGGTTCTGCTCTGTGATCCTGGCAAGTTTCCACCACTGCTGAAGAGTGTGGGGAGCTCAGTTCAGCATCCCCCCTGCACCTCCCGTTCCTGTAGGGCTGGCAGAGCCATGTATGGACAGTGCTGTGCCGATTGTAGAGGGGACTGAGCACACGGAATCCCGAGTCACAGGAGAGCAGTAACAGATACACGCTTAAAAAAATATAGACCTGGCTGAAGTCCTGACTAACCATAATTGCCTTTACTGATTCTCTGTAATATATGAGGTGAGAATGGTGGATTTCTCTGATTAGAGACCCTGGAGACCTCTTCTAGAAGTGCTTGGGCTGCATTTCTGTCCAGCAGCCTTGTCCCTAGGGCTCTGCTGTGGAAATATCCTTGGCTAAGCCACCTGAAACCCAAACAATTTGGGGTTAGGAGAACAGTGAGGGCAGGTGGAAGGTGACACCAGGCTGCGGCTGCTCTGATGCTCTTGAAGCCTTGGTGACTGTTGTCTCCAAATTTACACAGCTGGTGTCTTCTTTGCAGTAAGACAACACAGAGGTGTGGCAAATATCTGCCGACACAGTCAGAGGATGGAGATGGGAATTGGAGGACACAGGAGTTATGTTTTCCTTTAAGGCGTTCACTGAATCTCATCATCTCCTACGGATGTGACATCAAGATAACTCTGTGCAGAGGGGAAGTAAGTCATAAAATCTGGAGGGTGTCATAATTTTCTGTTTTCATCCCCCTAAAAGTGCAGACTCAGCACTTTGCAAGTACTCAGTATCAGCATTTCAGGGCTGCTTCTACAGAAAGATGAATGAAGATATGACATTCAGTGCTGACTTAAGCTTAACATACCTCCCCGGATGGGAAGCTCAGGCTAATCTTTTATGCCTGGTATTCCCTTCCTGCATCCTCCTCCTCAGCTCAGCTGCAAGCTCCCAATGCGCCAGGTGCCAAGGTAGGGAGAAGCAGTGCCAGTTGTCAGCTCAGGGGAAGGTACGCTCATCCTATATCTGGCTGTTATGATCCCAGCTGTCATCATTATCATGTCCTGCCTCAAACTGATTCAAGTGTGAATTTCTCTCTTCGGATAGAAGAAGGGGTACTACCTAAGCACAGTATGCGTAGAGCCAGAAGAGAAGAAAAGGTGCATCTCTCCCATTAGGCAAAGTTCAGACTAGGCAGCTCTCTGGTTCACCTTGCTGTGGCTTCAACTTTTTTTTGCAAATCACAGAGAAGTTTTTTCCTCATGTTCAGATGG